CTTGCACGGTTGAATAGCGTCTTGACCAAGGTCCGCTTGTATCGCGTTGAGGAGAAGCTGGTAAAGTGCAAGTACTGCCCTGACCAAGTCGGTTTTCGGTAAATCTCTCTTTTGATGGACCCATCTGCTCTTCGACAAACCAACACGTCCAGATATGGGAGGCAGTTGCTTTTCTCTGTTTCGCTGGTTACTTTCAGATTCGTGTGCATGTTATTCAGGCGATCGACCAGACGCGCAATGTGCTGGCAAGTTTCGGAATCTGTTCTATACAAATGATGTCACTCCGGAGGTATGGTGACGAGGCCTGAACACGACAACTCTATATGTGGCTTAATAGCTGCTTATTATAACAAGAAGAATGCATCCGCGTCAGTGTTGCTCAGCGCCCTATTATGATTAAATAACTCATGTCTCGCTGTATTGGAGGTAAGGAGGCACGTTATCCAGGAATGGAAATTGCTCCGTACGATGACACCTGCATGGCGGGCTTCATCACTGCACCACAATGATATGGATCCCATAAAAGACGGAGCAGCAATAGGTTTAGCACTAATAGGCAAGGGTTGACATTTATTGGCATTTCGTAGGTTAATTATGAAAGTATGAAATTTTGCGAACGACAGCTCACTACAGGACTCCCTGACGCCCCATATGCACTTAATCAGCACTGGAACCTCCGGCTTACTCTTATAAAACGGGATAGAACCCCGCTGCAGATCAACTTGGCCCACTGGTTCCGTTTATGCGAAGAAAGAAACCCGTACGAAATGAATCACAGAACCCCAAGACACATGCGCAAGAAAGTGGAACCCACGCTGTGTCTTCCTAAACCCAGTGCGAAGTTCATTTGCATTCCTCACAGCGACTGACATACCGTGATGCGAAAAAGCCCTCAAAAGACGAAAATAATAAGGCTATTTGCTATGGAAACAACCATACAGGTTAACGTTATAGGTGCGAAGCGGCGGTGAATGTAAATTGTTCGTTACATGGGTGAACCAGGTGCTATGAACGTGAAGGACGTTTGGACCATTCAGAAATATTCATCCCTAGGTGAGTGAGCGTGTATGTAGCTCTGAACCCACCAAGGGTGAACACTGAGAAATGGTTTCGGAAGACTCATCAGAGGCCACGTCGACAATCCGAAATGAATATGAACCGGACATTCGACAAAAGCGCACTTAAGGCGATATAATTATGTAATGTTGTTAAAAAGAAATGTGACATGAAAACATGTAGTGAAATACACGGTGATGAACATACCCATGTATTTGTGCATTACTCCGGAGACGAAGAGACGGTCATAGTAGTCATGCATGCGAAGGGAATATGCGCCGGTTCTGAAAGCCACGTGTTACCGATTATTACACCAACCTGACGTCCGAAGAAGCATTTCGGCAGTGTCACATGTAAATTGGAAGCATACCAGCAGTGGCTGATCACTGAAGTAGGCACCAGGGATGGACAGCGGTTCTGAAAGGCAAAAGGTGAACAAGCAATGCACTTACCAGAGGTGCAACGGAGTATATACGCGGCGGCACATGTTACATGCATGGAAAGTAGTAGTGACGCATCATACCAGTAATCATCACAGAGAGAGGCGTTCTAAAAGGCATCTATTAATATCCCATACCCTTACAGGATGTGCAACGGAGTAGATGGGGGCGGAATATATGATGTCGTGGCAGAACGGTACTTGGGCATCACCCATTTAGGAATGACGGATAGACAGCCGTAGCAAAAGCGGCATTAGGGCACACAATACAGTTACCGTAGGTGAAAGGAAGTACGTAGCCGCGGTAACCGTGACGTAGTTGCTGACCACTAGTGGCGGATCAGTCATGCGGGCGGCACGGATACCCAGGAGTTGGAAAAACATTTGTTAACAGCCAACAAACTGACTGCCGGTGCGAGGAATATCTATGTAGCAGGAAAGATTTCGTGTGGGAATACCATTAACGGCGGATCTGTCAGGGATAAAGAGAAGTTCTATAAGGCAATAGTGAGGAGGCAATGCACCTTCCCGTAGTTCCAACGAAGTACAGAGCACGCAAAGAACACCTGGAGTCCGAAAAGCAGCGGCGGATTACCATATAATCAGCATGGATACGGAGCAGTTGTCAAAGCCATTTATTAACTGGGGATAGATATACCGCACGTGCAACGGAATTGACAGCAGCGGCAAACGTGACGTGGAGACGAAGGAATATTGCCGCATTAACATTATTGGCAGCGCACATGGACGGCAATTCGGACGGTGGGTAACACTGGTGCAACGCTTGCACGTGGCTGTTCGTACCATACACTGGGCTGCGGTAGCATCATTGTGACGTACATAGTTGCTCTCTGGACAAACATTTGGTAATCATGGCTAGGCAAAGAACAAACAGCCATTCTATTCTGCAAGGCAATCAAGTCCTGCACCACTAGCAACAGTGCTCACCAACCGCAACTCTCGGTCCGGCTACCTATTTCTACAGCCCTCTTGCTGGGACTGGACACGAACTCATGTGTCTCCAGCAAACCAGTTCGCCCTACGCAGCCAACTGCACTAGTGATTACAGTACAGATCACTGCAGATTTCAGCTTCAGATAGGGACTGGAACGATAGGAGAATCCAGTGAGTGTTCCATCTAGAGTGGATCGTTGAGCCAGGAATTGATGAAGTGCTCAGTTATTGATGGATCTGAAACGGAAACACCCGTATCGCACCCTGGCCAGCCAGTTAATGCCCACGGTTCCTGCCCTAGCAGTCCCTGCTGTGGCAGTCACGTGAAGTAAGCAAAGAATAGGAAGATAAATCGAAGGTACAGAATACGGAAGTGCACTTAAATAAGAAAATAATACCAATGCGTGAAGAAAAGTAGAGAAAAGAAAATCGAAGTACAAAGATGCAAGTTACTAAGGAAAATGGAACGGTTTCGTGTTGCCACCCAAGAGCGTCAAGTTGCCGCTCAAGCCCCTTAACCGTAGATTCCCTGATAACACTTTCCGAAAGCATGTTCCAGCGGTCGATTACTCTGCGTGACAGCCGGATTTCCGCCGTAATCCGATCCGACCGCGGTTTGTCCAGCTTCAAGCAATGACCGCGTAGAACAGACAAGCTAGCGGGACTGAATAGCCAAGATAAATCTGGACCAACCTTCCCAGTCAAGATACGGTAGGTTAGGATTAGGTCTCCTCTAAGCCTTCGGTAGTGCATTGAATGCATTCCCAAACTAAGTAGACGCTCGGGGTACGTCCGGCCCCGTAATCCCTCGACTAACCTAGTACCCACTGGTAAAACCCTCTCTAGCTCCATTTCGTCCCGGACGAGGCAGGGCGGACAAGCCTGGACGCAGTATTCCAGATGAGCCTGAACGAAAGCCGAGAACAGACTCGTAAAGGTGCCGCCCGTCAAGACTCCGAAAGAGCGTCGGATTAACCACAAGGCTGGCTAGCCGAACAACCTCCTCGTGGTGCCAGTTGGGTGGTTCGGGTTTAACCCGTTCCAGCAAATAGTTCGGCGGCAGTGTTCCAGGACGTGGTGGGTTTTCGCCTGGCAAGCGTTTTCCCTATAAAAAGCCACAAATGTCTGCTTATCAACACTGCGACGTGGCGGATGTGACTCGCCACAAAATAAAGTCACTGGGCCGTGGACATCCGGAAAATGGCGTCCAACTCACGGACATCAATCGCTTATTCTCACATTCCTACCGATAATAAACAGTCAAAAATTCTGCGGCACATCCAAAAATACAAGCTACATTCATGGACAATTGGTTGGCGGCATCCGGTTTCGGATTTGCCTGTCACTGTGGCAAGCCACAGGACGCCTGCGCCTACAGAGGGACCATGGATGGCTTGCGCTGCACCACCCCCAGCTCCAACCACACACCCCATATCCAGTGTAAACCCGAAGGAATAAGACCGGGAGGCATGCGGATGGGAGCCACGTTTCATCAACGGAGCCGGCCCACACTCCTTCACAGGCAAACACAAGCACACTGTATTTGGGAATCAAGCGCACACAAGGCGGTGGCTGGACCGTAGTCCGCTCCATACTGAGTGCATGGAACCACTCTTCGAGCCTAACACGGCCACAAGGACCGTGCATCCCGTCCCCTCCAGCAACGACCAACTGTCTCCTGGAGCCAGTATGGAGGAGGTAGTGGGTAATAGACAGGTAGGCACCTTGTCAACATGCACATCAAGCGCAGCCACACCGGGGATATCAAACAACAGCCAAACACTTGAGAGAGGGGGGGAAGAAAAAGAGAAAAACTCGATTAATGCATAAGGAAACGGTGACATAAACCTTAATTAAATAGCATACGTAATAAGTTGTTTACAAACAAATCCTAGCTAAGTGCACGAGGTCAGGAAGTATATTTCACGGAATGCCACAAACACAAAAATGTTATGGAAATCGAATACAATTGGCTGAAGCGATGTGTGCAAGTTAATGGAATAGAGTACATGGAGATATTTATATGAGAAAGAAAATCATTAAGGCACAAAGTGTAAACCCACCACCTGAAATAAAGAGACTTAGCATGCAAGCACGCGGTTAGTAAATCGAATTCAGCGTGCCTACAAACGCTGCGCCGGCTCGTCGTAATTCTCTGCAGGACCCGTCGTCGCTTCTGTAGTGGCCCCAAATGGCACAGCGCATGGCCCACTAGACATGTATATGAGAAAGAAAGGCATTAGGAGAGAACCGAAAACCCACCACCTGAAATAAAGAGACTTAGCATGCAAGCACGCGGTTAGTAAATCGAATTCAGCGTGCCTACAAGCGCTGCGCCGGCTCGTCGTAATTCACTGCGGGACCCGTCGTCGCTTCTGTAGTGGCCCCAAATGGCACAGCGCATGGCCCACTAGACATTTATATGAGAAAGAAAGGCATTAGGAGAGAACCGAAAACCCACCACCTGAAATAAAGAGACTTAGCATGCAAGCATGCAGTTAGTAAATCGAATTCAGCGTGCCTACAAACGCTGCGCCGGTGCTGCCTACGTTCACTGCGGGACCCGTCGTCGCTTCGGCAGTGGTCCCGAGTGACCTCTCTCATAGCTCACTAGGCCTGCCTGACTAAGGCACTCGCGACCGCATGTTCTACAGCACAATGCGCTCGATGTCGATGGAGTACAATTCATCGGTGCTTGCCGCTTACGCACTTGCCGCTTCTTCTCTGCATGCATGAGGGCTTTCTCCCGCACCTCAGCAACTGCCTTCGTGATTAGATCGCGCCATGCACCACGATCAGCCGCCTTCGTTTCCCATGATCTGCAATCAAGATTAGAACGTGTGAGGCTCACTTTAATCATGTCCTGGTAACGTAACTTTGGTTTCCCAGCATGCCGCTTCCCCATACTCAGCTGACCGTATAAAAGTTGTTTCGGTATTCGCGTCGAATCCATACGGCTCACATGACCGAGCCATCTCAGGTGTCGCAGTAAAAGTATGCCGTCCACTGCATACATCCCACTTCGGCGCAACACTTCCGTGTCTGCAACTCTGGCGCCCCAGCCGATCCGCAAAATTCGTCGCACACACTGCTGATGGAACCGCTCGAGATATCGCACATCCCGACGGTACATCGTCCAGGTTTCACTGCAGTATAGAAGAACAGACAGTACCATGGATTTGTACACCATCAGCTTCGTGTCAATGCTAAGCTGATGGTTGTTCCACACTCGGTACTCTAGCTTCCCGAATGCCGCTGCCGCCTTCGACACGCGATTACGCAACTCAACGTGTAGCTGCTGATCCGTCGATATCACACTCCCAAGGTAGCAAAAGCGGGAGGTGGTTTCCAATACTTCAGCACCAATGCTGATTCGCTGCAATATTGAAGATTGCACCTCCGGTGAAGGCTGAAAGAGACAGACAGTTTTGCTTGTGTTGATGGTGAGTCCGAATTTGGCCGCTGTCGAAGCCAGAGCACTAGTCATGTGCTGCAACTCATCCGCGCTGTGTGAAAACAACGCACAGTCGTCAGCAAACAGCAACATACGGATAGTTGTCTCACAGACTAGAGTTCTCGCACCGAAACGACGGATGTTCAGCAAGCCACCATCAATACGGTGCTCCACACGAACACCGTAAGCACAAGCCGCATCAAAAGCACAAGACAACATTGCATGAAGATAGATATTAAACAGGGTAGGAGCTAACACACAGCCTTGCTTCACACCAGAGACAACTGTAAAGTCATCAGAGGTCTCTCCACTCAGCTGCACCCTCGCTCGCATACCATTGTGCAGACATTCAATTAAACTTACAAACTTACGCGGGCAACCAAACTTACCCAACACCAGCCACAGTGCCTCGCGGTTCACCGTATCAAATGCCTTGGTGAAATCCACAAAAAGCGAGTACAATGGCTGGTGTCGTTCTCTACACTTCTCTTGCAACTGACGAGCCGCAAACACCATATCTATAGTGCTGCGACCAGAACGGAATCCACATTGCTCTTCCGCCACGTTAGGTTCCACAATCTGACTCACGAGGCGATTGAGCAGGATTCGGGCAATCACCTTGCCCACACAACTCAGCAAGTTGATGCCACGATAATTCGTGCAACATTGCTTGCTCCCTTTGCCCTTGTACAGTGGTAGCACAAGGGCATCCTTCAGCTCAGCAGGCACCTCCTCCTCAATCCACACGCGTTGCACCAAGTGGTGCAGCGCGGTCAACAACGCGGGTCCACCGTGTTTCAATACTTCAGGTGGGATCCCGTCACCTCCGGCACGTTTGCCGTTTCGCAGCTGAGCAAGTGCTCTCTGCGTCTCACCCAGTCTCGGCGTAGCCGCCAGATCCGCCTTCACATCGTGCTGCTTCAGGCCATTCAATGTAGGCCAGTCGATCTCTGAACGGTTGTTCAAGAGACAGTCAAAGTGTTTCCGCCAGACCTGCATCATGTCTGCAGTCCGGGTGCAGGTAGCGCCTGAACTACCATCGATCAGTGTCCTCAGCGGCTCCAATCTCGGTCCATACACCGCCTTCAAGGAGTCAAAGAATTCCTTGTGTTGACGGCGTTCGGCGTAGCATTCCATCTGCTTCGCCTTCTCCGTCCACCATGCATTTTTAATGCGACGGAGCTCTCGGGTCAGTCGCCGTCGAAGTTTGCGAAACTGACTCTTCTTCCCCAAGTCACTGGGGTCTGCCACATGTGCAGCAAATGCTGCATTCTTCTCTGACACCAATGCGTCAATCGTCACATTGTTGTCATCAAACCAATCAGGCCGTTTACAGTTTGCGCGCCCGATGGTCTCCTCCGCAGCAGCTGTCACCTGGGCGCGAATGTGGTGCCACAGGTCGCCCACTGTGGCTATACAGTCCACATCACCACACAGGGAAAACATAAGAACATACTAACCTGCAGCAGCGACTCCAGAGAACGAAGAGACACCGTACCAGAAGAATCAGTTTCAGCGCGCAGAACCTTTGCTGCCAAGTGTCGCCACGGAAGTATATTAGAGTGGTGCTCAAACGGACCGACAATGACAATTGGAGGCTGCTCTTTGTTGGTAGTGGATGCACCGGAGCAGTTCATAAACTCATTCATAATTTGAATTTAGAGCATGGACAATTACATACTTATATACACCCATACACTTACATTCACTGTTATGCCAAACATGTACTCGTTGTACATTTTGATCACACTGTGTTAGCTAAACATGATCATGCCTGTACTGGTGTGTCTCGCATTGTCGAGAATAAAAGTTTATTTATTTATTTATTTAACATGCGGAAACCTCTGCTTGTGGCTTGCTTCCAGTTGTCGCCGGAGTGTAAAGCCGAAGAGTGTACGACGCATAGTTCAACCTGGCTAGATACACGGGGGAGTTCGACCCCACCGACCAAGTACTTCGTAGGAGGACAACCTCCTCCAGTTCGAAGAACGGAGCACTGTGCCTGATTTATGGGCAGTAACCATAAAATAGACCAGACCGAAAGCTTATCCAATGGTCGCTGAATAGCTTCGGTTCCCTCAGGAATATCAACAATGTTCCACAGCTTCAGGTCATCATCAAATAGCAGCGATGGTACCTCAAGCTCCGTGGGTAGGTCACTCACACAAATAGAGAACAACAGCGGTCCAAGGACCGAGCCCTGCGGCACGCGGATGAGGACAGACCGCCTAGATGATAGGTCCCGGCCTACCCGTACACACTGTTCTCTACCCTCCAAGAAGGCAGTCACCCAATGTAGGGTGCGGCCAGATACCACGTAGGAGGAGAGTTTTGCGCGAGCCTCAAATGGGGTACCTTGTCAAATGCCTTCGATAAGTCGTCGAAAAGCACGTCCAGTGTGTGGCCGTTATCCACTGCATCCGCCCAATTTTCGCGAGCCACCAACAGATTCGTCAGACACCAAAATCCCTTCCGGAAGCCCTGTTGTACATTGCTAAGTAGATTATATCTACTCAGATGATTCTCCAATGAATGTCTCACCAGTTTCTAGAGGAGTTTGACTACTACACTCGTCAGACTAACTGGCCTGTAATTTGCAGGCAGACCCCTGTCCCCATGTTTGAAGATGGGACAGATGACAGCTTCCCTCCTCTCGGAAGGCAATGCACAACTGGCTATCGATTTCTGAAACACAATAGCGAGCGGTCCACTTAGTTCCGCAGCCAACGCATGCAGCAGTTTCCGGGTGAATTAAATCAGGCCCAGAGGCCTCGCTAGCCGAACAACCTCCTCGTGGTGCCAGTTGGGTGGTTCGGGTTTAACGCGTTCCAGCAAATAGTTCGGCGGCAGTGTTCCAGGACGTGGTGGGTTTTCGCCTGGCAAGCGTTCTCCCTATAAAAAGCCACAAATGTCTGCTTATCAACACTGCGACGTGGCGGATGTGACTCGCCACAAAATAAAGTCACTGGCCCGTGGATATCCGGAAAGTGCTATCCAACCCAAGGACATCAATCGCTTATGCTCACATTCCTGACGACAACAAACAGTCAAAAATGCTGCGGCACGTTTAAAGACACAAGCTACATTCATACACAAATACATACGTATATACACTCATACACTTACATACACTGTTATGCCAAACATGTACTTTTGTACATTATTGATCACACTGTTAGCTAAACATGATCATGCCTGTAAAGGTGTGTCTCGCACGGTCGAGAATAAAAGTTTATTTATTTATTTATAGAAGCGTTCAGCCCTTCTAACAGCCTACAAACTGCAGTCTCCGCTATAATAAATTCAAATAGTTCTGAACCCTCTGGGGTCCTGCAAACCAGCTCAACGCCTGTCAAAGAGGTTTCCCTTACAAACGCTGCCGAATATTGCCCACTGAGTACGCAGGCCTTGTCATAGTCCGTATGCGCATGAGTACCGTCATCACGCATCAATACTGGAATTGACATGTTCGAGGCGCAGCGCCTTTTGACATAAGCGAAGAATCTTTTTGCATTCTCTGAAGCTTCGTCTGCTAACCCTTTCTCGAAATTGAGCCGAGCATTCCTTAGGTGTTGCTTACACCTATTTCTAGCCTTACGGTACCTGTCATAAGTATCGGTGGACGGAGCATCCTGGTAAGTCCGCCAACATCTAGACCTCTTTGTGAGCGGATGCCTGCCAGTGGGATCTATCCAGGGCGGCTGTGCTCGGGCCTCCTTTCTCCTTCTGACGGGGATGGAGGGAGCAGAGACCTCTGTGAGGTAGGAATTAAATTTATCCCAAGCAACCTGGACAGTATCGTCGTCTGAGATCTCACAATGGAAACCCGAAGTCTTGGCTCTCATTGATTGATAGTCAGCGTGCCATATGTTCGGGCGAGACTCAACAGTACTCTGGTAGCGTCTAGACAGAGTACAACTGAAGAGCAAACAAACATGATCACTGGAATTCAGTGGAGGTCCGTAAGTAATGTCACCAACAAAATCGAGTGACATAGCGAATACAAGGTCTAAGATAGACGGTACTTGGGCGTCCATGTACCTAGTGGGAAGGTCAATGAACTGGTGCAAAGATACTTGGAGCGTAAGTTCAAGCAGATCAGCGCCGAATGTGCCCGACGCTGAGTCGCAAGAAAGATCTGCCCAGCAAATCTCTGGGAGGTTGAAGTCGCCCATCACCAAACACTTATTTGCGGACTGGGAGCGAATGAATTCCAGCACCTCTTTGGATACGCTCCCAGGGCTTCTATACACAACTACAACTGTAACCTCAGCCGAGGATGTGCTAATAACAGCCGATAGAGCTTCAACAGTTTTGTCTGCCGACTGAAATAAGCAAGTCTTCAAAACGTCAAGTTTACAGCTCACATAAAGAGCGACGCCCCCTCCCTGTCGGCCAGCAGAGCGATCGCATCTAAATAGTGCGTAGCCAGATACATGTACTTCACCATCCGTGATGTCCTGAAAAAGCCACGTTTCAGTGAATGCGAGTATATCGGGATGAGACCCATCTGCATGCAGACCTAACTCGCACATCTTATTCCTTAGGCCGCGCACATTACTTAGCACTATCTGAAGGTTTTCGTTAGATCCAGACCTGGGTCGTGCACTAACAGAATGGGCAGTGATAGGGCGGAAAAGGACCGCCGGCTGACCACCCGAAAACCCACTAACCGGAGACCCTGTTCACCGGCCGCTCGCTTGCTTTTGAGGTCCTTGATGGCCTCCCTTAGCTTCAGCCTATCGGCTAGCGGAAAGTCCGGCTGAACGCTAATATTTGTACCTTTCAGCTTAAACGCAAACCGCATGAGAGCATTGCGTTCCTCAGGGGTAGAGAGTACCACACGAAGTATCCGCGGTCGAGGGTTTGGTACGTTAACTGGGACGTTCCCCAGTCTAATCAGCTTCCTGACAGTAACGCCTGGAAAACCAGGCGGAAGAAGCTTCGTTACGCACATTTTAAACCATTGAAAGTCGTCCAACATGCGATCAACAGGAATGACAGCAGTAAATTCAGCCGCGTTACGGAATATAACGCTACTATCCGTGAAAGAATCGCCACGACGGGGTGTATTAACCCCACGGGTCTTTGATTCGGCACTCGGAGTAGGTGCCTTCACTACTGGTGATGGAACTATCTTTAGCCCCTCCGATGATGTAGCAACGGCAGCGTATGTTTCTCGCTCCATTGTCGATGTCTTACTTTCGTTACGGTCATCGATTCCACCGAAAGGCTTTATGGCAGATTTTGTCTGCTTTTATTCTTGATAACAGGAGCAGGGTCCCGTGAGGCTTTTTCGCTTTGAGCAGTATTAAGCACACCATCAGAATATGTCTTCTCGGTGAGAACCAAGATTTCCGGCAACTTCGGCTGACAAGTAGTGCGTGTTGGGATCTTCGCCTTCGCACAACCGTCAGACGGTTTGCCAAGTAACGACACTTGGCTTGTTTCCGGTGCCGAGACAACAACTTCTTGTTTAGCAGAGAGCTTACGAGGTTTCCTGACTCTTCATCGCTTAACTCGAAGTGACCCTTGCACCAGCAATTCGGCGTCGATCAGGGTAGGTTTAGATACGACGTCCGAAGCTGCTTCATTTTGGTGGTCGGCAGCCATCTGGACCGGTGACATAATGATAGGTGCCACAAGTTGATCATCAGTGTAAGCGATAAAATCTGCGTTGTTGGAGACAGGAAGCGTCTTCATGAGCAGATCAATCTTAAAGCGAAGATCTGAGAGCATCGAGAACGAACGCTCTACATTTCGCTGCCGGGTATCAAGAGATTCGTCTCTCGTACGAAAGGCTGTGCGGCCTTGCCGGCGGCTGCAGCAATTGGCACAACTGAAAAGCAACTTTTCGCTAGAGGCCAGCGCTGCGTACTGCTCGGTATTTAGCTCCGTACAAAGCGGATGGTACCATCGGTTGCAGACATCGCATTGCATACCGCCGGAATTGTCAGTTACTGGTATATTGCAGCTTGGGCCGCCACGAAGTGCGATAACCTCCGAATCCGAGCCATCAGGAACAACAGCCTCGGTGCATTGCGAGACCGACATAGTTGAAAACAGAGTGATTATAACACGTATGCAATAGTTAAACGACCTCAAAAAAGGCAAAAACTGGGGTAAAACGGGGTTAAAACTGGAAAAATTACCAGTAAGCGCCAAAGACGCTTTGACCAGAACCGCTTTAATCGATCCAAGATATCTTGGATCAGAGGAAATTTGACAGTAGTCAAATTTCGTTTTAAGTGTTTATTCAAACACTGTTTTCCACGTTAATTCAACTAAACATCTCGATCAGTATGGCACGCCAAAAAGTCGAGTTACCACGTAGCACTGTGCTGTCTCGGGCAGAAATCTATCGGAGTGATCATCGGTTTGCAGATTCATTCGTATTTACATGCGTTAGCCTCCGTGTTGCATTAATATTAACTTACCGTTTGCCACGCAATCCTGAACGTCCAAAATGTACGCAACCGTACAGGATGTAGCCGTTGGTGTCCCCATCCAGCAATTGTTTGCGCCTTCCACGCTGGAAAAACATGTCAACGATTTAATCTGAAAACGTCCGAATTGCTCCTCCATGTCTTCAACACTTTCATGCTTCCTAATAACCAAAGATCTGAACAGCTCACCATCATCCACAGCC